TCAAGAGGTGTTGAATGGAGGCCGCGACTACCGTCTTCAACTACCACCCAATGACTTATCTCACCCAATCTTTCATATCTCAAAACTGAAGCTGTATCACGAAGACGGAATCAACAGCGACAAACAGGACATTGCGGCCATTGACTTGGTCTCGTCACATCCGGAACCAATCCCCGAAGGTCCTACAAAGGAGCCCGTGGGGCACGCTACGAAACGTGACGAGGGGGTGTGCATGAGAATTAATGCATTAGCACCCCCGCAATGTGAGTGTGATACATTTTTTCATCCCTCTGTCAAAGATGAAATTGGCAAGCATTTTCCTCTCCAAAATAACAGTGCCGAAATTCAACCAACGACCTTGAGTGTGCGCGAGGAACGAAGGGTTTTCATTGCAGCCACTAGGATGGCTTCGTCATTGCCGAAAACAGCCCCGACAGGTCCTGAATTGGAGCCCTTGGGGCACGCTAGGACAACTGACGAGGGGGTGTGTATCAAATTGATACGCTAGCACCCCCGCAATGTGAGTGTGCTATATATATTTTATCTCTCCAGTGTTCGAGAAATAGCTGGCAAGCAAAATTCTTTCCTAAATAACAGGCTTGCCGCGGATTAAAGGACTCATCAATTCACATCAAGACACCAAGATTCAACATGATTTAATGACTCACATCAAGATTTCAAGATTTTCATCTCACATCAAGAATAAACATTTCACATATTACTTTTCATTTTGATTTTAAGATTATTATGAAGGCTATGAATTTTCTTTCTTTTTTTTTCTCTCAAAAAACCTTTTGAATTCAGTTTTTTTCTTCTACTTTAAATTTTTTTTGATTTAATTTCTCAGGACGTGTCATGGTCAATTTTTAGGGGCGAGTTATGCCGTTTTTTCTTATTTTCTTTTTCTTTCCTTGGTTAATTTGGTTAATGGCTCCGCATTAAAGAGGAGGAATTATTTTTAGGAGGGGAGGGTGTAAGGATTACACATAGGTACAGCCAGTATGGCTATTGAGGCATGGGGTTATGCGGGTTTTCATTATATCTTCTTGTCACCGCCCAGCTTCGGAAAGTCTTCACTCCTCAGAGAGCTAACCTTGGACTTTCTGGAGCTAGGTACGTTTATGACTCTTTTCATCATTTCTTTTAGTTCTTTTCTTTGTACCCGCTCAAGACTCCTCAGAGAGCTAACCTTGGACTTTCTGGAGCTAGTTTCGTAATCAAAACATAACGAAGTTCCTAGTTAGTGCTCTCTCGAGAAGTCAAGCCGGAAACTTATCCGGACCCCCAGTGAAGGTTCTCACGAACCTTACACCTTGTTGCGCAATATGTAGCGGGATAGTGAGCTATTTCGCGCGCTATAGCGTGGCTCGCTCATAGCGCGCTATATAGCTTTTTTTAGTGGTTCCTGCGCAGCGCTTCCCTGAGAGAGAAAAAAAATAAAAATTAGCGATCCATAGCGTGATCGCTTGTAGTGGAAATTCCACTCCGCTCAAAGATTTGCTGAAATCTCATAGCGTAGCGGAGCGGTTTTGGTGTTGCCTTTACTCAACCACTCAAAATGACCGACTTGGATAGCAGCAGCAAAAAGGTTGAAGTAGTCCAATCAAAGTCAAAGTCAAAAGATAATTCAAAATCAAAATCAAAAGATAATTCAAAAGATAAATCAAAAGTAAAATCAAAAGATAAATCAAAAGTAAAATCAAAAGACGAAGATGAATCCATGTCTTCTGCCTCCAAGCAAGGAGGAAGTGCATGGCAGTCAAAGGAACAAAGGATTTCCTTCAACAGCTAGGTTTGATGTGCCGATGCCACACTTGCTCTTGGTATGACCAAGAGTGAGGATGGCCGGCTGCGGGAGGAACCTAGCGCAAGGACCTTGGTGCGACACGACTCTGGACTGATAAGCCAGAGTTGTCCCAAGGACGTTTGCGCGCATGAGGGTGAACAAGAGTTCCTTCGAACCCATCCACAGGAGCAAAGGCTCTAATGAGCCGAGACCCAGTGAAGGGACTCGAAGCCCGTCCTCATGGAGGCAAGCTCACTTAGAGCGTAACCCGCCGATTGCTGAGGAAACCACAGTAAGATCAAGTGTTATGATCAGCAAGTGTACATCAAAGTAAACCAACAATTACCATTGAAAAGACAATAATATTACAAAACAGCTTATACAAATAGCCCAGGAAATAACATTAGGATCAACGATGACTTCGACTGTAAGAACGTCTCAATGCGTAAGCTAACAACTTAGTTCTACGTAAAGTTTCCGGCGAATATCGCCTTAGATACAATTTGTATGACGACGAACGCCATCTGCCGGCTTTCATCAGGACTTTCTTCGAGCAGCCTAGGTTCGCTCGTAAGGAAGCTCCACCAATTCTGAGGCTGTGGCCCGTCCAACAATCAAGCGAAGTCGGCTGGTGCTTTTTCAGTATCGCCAGTACGGTAGACTTTGACATTGGTTGATCCTGAAAAGCGCCCCTGAATAATGGGTCGTCGTCACTGCCGGCAGTTAGGCGTAAGATGTCTCGTACAGCTGTTATCGGGTCTAACCGATTCGGTTGTCTGACCAGGCGAAGGAACTGGAGTTCGCCAGGTACCGCCCTCTTGGCCATCCTAAGGCAGATGGAGGCAGTCGAATGATCTCGCGAGAAGGCGACGTCTTTCCGGCGTATGAAGACTTCAGGGTGGTCATCATGGCGTGTTAGTTCACCCAAACAAGCCAAGCCCCAGAACCCCACTAAGATGATTGCACGCAAGGTCATATTTGGCAAGGAGTGGCCTTGAAGTCTGGTGATGAGCAGATCGATGTCCATTAGAGTCAGACCGGCCCAAATTCGTTGAGTCTTAGGGATCTCGCAACGTTTTGCCGCCGTGAGGACCAGTCAAAGGCGATTCAAGTCTAGTACCGGGAAGGTCACATTGTGTAGGGTATGCCACATGCGCAACCCCGTTAGATATCTTTTTGAGGTGTTGCTGATGACTTTGTGTTGATTCTCAGAATTGTTACACCATAGGACAAATCGGTAGATATCGTCTGCTGAGACCGGGAACGGGAACAGGGATGTATTCATGAAGGCGAAGTATTTATTGACTGCTGCAGCATATTGCCTTGTCGTTGCAGCTGCCCAACCGTGTGCCAGGATTGCTTCACTCACTGGGTCCAACCGTGTTAGGATACCCGGGGCAGATTGTCGTAATGTCGATTTTGCGGAGGTCATTTCGTTTTTGTTTGTTTGGGAAGACTTGAACGAGTAGGTGTGATAAATCTTGTGGGATTTCGATTGGAATTGCATTGAGGAGGCCTTTTGAAGGTCCGAACCCTCTCGACAACTTATCAGCTTCGTTGTCTGCTGACGTAACTCGAACTAGGTTGACGTCGCAATCCAGCTGGACCAGTAGATCCTGGAGAACTCGCCACTCTCTATTGACCCAGAAGTCCCTGGACTTTTGATTTCTCGCTGCACCTTCGGTCGTGGTGTTGTCAGTTAAGCAAGAAAATTTTAGGCCTGCCACGCCCGTAGAATCTTTTTGTTTCTTTTCTAGCATGATTATACCTAAGCAGACTGCAACTGTTTCGGCCCAGGCAATCGTGCGCTCGGGTCTATCTTTTGGAAACTCCCAACCAGGTAGCCACTTGAAGATTTCCCTATGATGATCCCGATGCCGAAATCAGTTGACGCGTCTCCTACCCAACCTACGTTCTTTATAACGTGGTCTGGGATAATTTTTGTTGGGACGATATCTTTGAGGTAATGTTGCCAATATCGTATGTCTTCTTTGACATCTTCAGGGATTATTCTTCTACCAGGAGTTTTCCAGGCTGCAACAAATGCAAAGCCTTCTGTTAAATAACATTTCAGCTGGGGCAATATCAGTGTCACGTGACTCAATTTTCCGTTGAACTTCTGCATTTCCTTCTTAGTGCAACTTGTTCTAGCTAAAAATTCTTTGACTTCTCTTCTCATTTTGTTCAATTTCTTATCTGGCAGTCGGACAGTTTTATTTACACAATTCCAGTAGAAGCCTATAAACTTCTGTTCTTCTGCGAATTCGGAGTATTTAGTCACGTTTGTCTTGACGCCTAACTCCTTGCTAGCTTTTACAATATCCAGCATAGTTGTTTTATCTGATTTGAGCTTTATCATTAAATTGTCGTCCACCCAGCGAAACACCTCCATTAATTTAAATATGGCTTTCATTAGGTCTTTCCAACCGTCAGCAGGGCCTCCAAAGGATCCACAACCGGCAACTCCTCCGAACGCTATCATGATGTCAATAAGAATTTGTCCTTCAAAATCCATGATTGCTAGATATGGCCACTGAGAAGGGTGGGTCGGTATTTGTCCATAAGCCCCTTCCCAGTCGGAGATACCCATTAAAACATCTTCTTTCAGTTGTTTGATAAATAAGGCCACCTTCTTGAAATCATCCCATGTGGTTTCAAATTCTTCTTTATTAACGCAAGAGTTCACTGAACGGATGTCTTTATCGAATTTTGGATAAGACATATCATTTATAGGTCTGAATGTACCGTCACCATTTTTGACTGCGCCCAATGGGTTTGTCTGAAAGAAACCGAGATGGTGGTACACTTCCTCTTTTTCGAAGGGTCCGTACATTTTCCCTGCTGCAACCTCTTTTTCAATATTCTTCTCTATCTTTTGTCTAGCGTTGTTTGCTGAATTATGATTTGGCGGACAGTAATACTTGAGATCCTTCACTATATGGTAAGGAACGCCTTGATGAAACCCCTCTTTAAATCCTACCAACAAGTATTCGTACTTCTCTAACAATTCATATTTTCTCAATTGTTCTCTCCAAACATCTATATTCATAGCACACGTTACTTTTGCTGGCCAGCAATTCTTATTCGTTTCATTATTGTGTGCCAAGTGAACATTTGTGAAGCAATTCTGTGTATCGTATTGCATATTTTCACTAACAGGTACGTTACAAAAAACAAAGTTTACAAATTATATTTAACACCATCTATTGGACAATTACTTGTCGGTCACATCTTTAACAGACTGCTCAGACTGTCTAGGATTATCATCATCTCTGATGTTCGACTTCTCTGGCTGTTTCCCTTTAGATTTATCAAAACGTTGATAAGGACCTGGGGATAATTCCTTTCTCAAACCTTTACCCCGGTTATTCCTTCTGTTTCTGTTTTGATAATTGTCATTCTTAGCTTGATAACTCTGCCAGTTATCGTTCCTCTTGAAAGTACCATCATAACTCTTGAAGTTATTGTTTCTTTCAACCAAGCTATGTTGTTGATTGAATTCCGGTGGTGCAAGGCAATTCTCGTCAGATGTTCTTTCTATGTCGATAGATTCGTGGTCAATTCCTTTTGGATACGGTTTTCCTGTTATCGGGCTAAATTTCTCTTTTGGACCTCCTCTCGCATATGCTAAGAATTCAAGCATTATGTATTATGTCAGCCAAAATTCTTATTTCAAGAATTTGTGATTACTCACGGTTATCTAATGAACATGACCTTCCATCTTGTAAAAGTTCAGTCCTTGCTTTGGCTTCATCTAGGAAATTTTCTCTAGCTACACTTGGATCACCCGGTGCTCCGTTGATTCTGTTGCACAGAACGTCGGTTCGTACCATGATATCGTATCGAAAGGCCGTAATCCAACTGTGTCTCAGACTCAATTTCTCTACGTATTCGAAGTGTTTCTCCAAACTAAAGCGGCCAATGTTGTTCAGATTAGAACAATATCGTATTGATATGTATTAATCTAAACTCACTCTTTCGCAAATGGGCCATGTTTATATACTTCTCGTAAGTATTTTAACATCAGAGTTCTTGCTCTGGTCCAATCGGCGAATGACATCCACCATTCGCTTTTTGCGGGTTGTCCAGTGGGTCTATCCTTTTTCTTTGAAGAAGTATTATTTCCGTCTACCATATGATCCATTTCAATCCATTTATCGTTAAAAATAGTCAACTTGAAATGAATATCCCGTTTCTTCAAATGAGTATCCCAATAAGGCGTGAATGCTCTCAATTCTGACAAAGATACTTGACCGCTCTTGTAGTTCTTTAATGGATTCACTTCGTTAATAATGTCTGTTGCTTTGTCTAAGGAATTCAAGAATTTTTCTACTAATTTTGTATTCCCCATCGCAAGAGCCATCTTCGCGACTTCTACTGACATTACTATAGCCAAAAAAATTTTAATTAATCAGCACCAATATTTATGTCATAATAGTCAAGATATATGTATTTGTCGGAGTAGATCACGGATAGGAATGTCGGACTAGATCACGAACTTATCAGACAAAAACAAATAAAACATTGGAATACATCACGATTAAAGCTTATCGGACTATATCAGGACCCTGGAATGCGCCTATGGATGTATCTGACGAAACCCGATTTTTGGTTTTTGGGCGCTACTCTACACACCACTACCTGCCTCGCGGTCCCAGACACCTAAAAAGATGCGCATGGGTCAGGGCTATCCAATGAGCCTGGTCATAGACCTGTAGCGTTGCTCAGTTCGACGGAAATCGCAAAGGCGCAAAAAAAAAATCGGCCTCCAAGGTCCGATTAGGACCTTCCAAATATGGGCCTTTTTTGGCTGTTACATTGAGATATCTCAGGAAGTATTGGAGCTACGGGGTTGAAAGTTAGTGTAGCTTAAAGGCCTGCTTCTGGCGCATCGTTTAAACTCCTGTAGGTGTCAGTGAAGTGAAGTTTAGTGCCCAAAAACATCACCAACAAAAGGTCCTGATTTTCGTCAGATACATCCATAGGCACATTCCAGGGTCCTACTATATCACGATTAAATAACAGCTGAGGTTCGATCTTTTGACATGTTGTCACTTCGTAATATTACGAGATGAAACGAAGGTGGTTATTGTTTAATTCTTACTTTTGTTCATTTCTTCTATTTCAACTGATGATGATGACTTTTCTGATTCTTCGACCTGTTGTCCTTCGAAAACAATATCATCTTCAAATATCAATCCATCTTCTATCGTATCTTGAATGTGAACCAATTTGTTTTTCTTTTGTTCTTCTTTCTTGTTTCTAATTTCCTCTAAAGCATCTTCTCTTTCTATTCTTATTTGTTCTTCTTCCTCTGTCTCTATTTCAAATGAAGCTTCTTCTTCTAAAACTGGTGATGTTGGGATTGGTGTAAATTCCGGACTAAGGTCCTTGTTTCTTCTACTGACACGTACCATGATTGGTTCGAAAAAAGGGGGAACTGTACGCGCGAAGAGGAAGCTTCCTCAGTGGTGAGTGAGGCCGTGAGAATGAGATGACGGGTCGAGAGTGAAGGAATGGAATTCCTGAATCTCGATCTGGGAAGAGAGAAAGCCAGCACGAGAGAGCTGGTCTCCTTGTGCCTGGTCGACCACCTAATCAGGGCGGTGGTCAACAGGCACTATCCCAGAGACGTGATCTAATCAGGGCCGGGAATCCAAGATCTGGATCCTTGCTCTGAGTGCAGCTTCTCCGGCGTGACATGGACTAGGGTAATTCCTAGTCCTGTTGTCACTACCCCTCAATCAACCAAGAAGAGTGAAGAATGGGAAAATAGTCATACATTGTATCTTATGGATGAGATAAAGCACCAAATGGACCTGGAAAGGGTAACGACGGTGGCCTCAAGCCCGATGGATGGAAGATTGTATTAGATAACTACAACACCAAGTTCAAAGTTCAAGCTAGTTTGACCCGATTAAAAAATCATTTTCAAAAGGTCAGTCAAATCATTTGTTTCCCTTTTGATCAAACATTGTGCTTACTCAATTATATACTTCTATCCACAGTGCAAGACCACCTTGAAGGCCTTCGATAAGATAATCGACTCATCTGGTGCCCCTGGAACGAATACGATGACCGGCGAAGTTCAGGCTGACAAGGAGTGGTGGGATTGTTGGATTTCAGTAAGACATCAATTTCAATTCATAATATAATCAATTTGAATACTCACATATGTATCTTTATCCACTATAATCCTTTGATGATAGAATGGCAATCCTGATGCAAAGCCGATTCGAAAAAATGGGTTTCCGGCGTATGAAGTGGTATCGTCAGTTATGCCCAAGAAGCGCTTACGAGCCCATGGCAACGAAGGTTTTGGAACTCAGACCAAAAAGAAGAAACCAGCCTTGCCGAGTGGATCAGACAAGGAAAATGAAGGTAAGTCTTTTTTCATTTCATCTGTGCATATTGACTACAAAGCTGATTGCTTTTACTGAATGATCAGCTTTGAGTGAACGTGGGTTTCACAAGGCCGAATCTGATGGATCTCACAAGTCCAACTCTGACAAGGACTCAGGTATTGAGGAAATCAAAGTTACAAAACAAGCTTCTTCACAAAAGAAGAAGGTATGTTACAAATTTCATTTTTCTCACTCTACAATATCATTCAATTTGATTCTAATCATTCAATCAATCTTATTGATTGATCTTAATCCATCTTATCGATTGATCTTAATTGATCTTATTGATTGATATTAATCGATCTTATTGATTGATCTTAACCATTCCATTCAATATCTTCATTCAATTCAATATCTTCAATTCAATTATTATTCAATTCAAATCAATATCATTATTTAATTCAATATCTTCAATTCAAATCAATTATTATTCAATTACATTCAATCATTATTCAATTCAATATCTTCAATTCAATCATTATTCAATTCCAATCAATGATTATTCCAATCAATCATCACCTCAGA